CCCCTTTATAGCCACCTCGTCCAATTCGTGATATCATCAGTGATACTTACCTGTGCGTAATTCCTATTTTTCATTCAAGAATGAAACATCTAGATCTTGATTTCCATTTTGCATGGGAAAAGGAGTTTAGTGGCTCTTTCCGAGTCGCACATGTCTCCACATCCAATAAGCTTACGGACGTCCTCACAAAACCAGTCCAAAGCTCGCTTTAAATATCTTCGGTCAAAGATTCTTATCTCTGACGGAGGCACCATCTTACGGAGGCATAAGAGGCAAGAACCACTCCAGAGAACGTCCAGCTCCTCAAGGATCACTTCCCTCCACAAATCATGCCAATAAGGTACAAAATCCCCGGCTTATATCTCTAGAGTAATAAAAAAGTACAGAAATCTTTATATTCTTAAGATAGTGCAGTTGTTTATATATAGGATTAGAATATGTAAAATCCATAAAAAAAAAATTAAAAGGAGAATTAAAAAAAAACAGTCGGCCTTTAAAATATAGCTACTAAAAAAATAGTTGTTAATGAAAAAAAATAACTATTGAAAAAAAATATAGTTATTATGAAATAAATTACAAGAGTTTTAAAAACTGTGATTTTAGTTTAAGAGTTAAAAAATAAATTATTATTAAAGATAAAGGGTTTAAAAAATATAAGCATTGCCTCGTGCGCAAGGTGAGAATAAATGTTCTACTCTTGTTCAACCCAGCTCTCATTCGTGAAAGCCTACCATCTTTATTAGTTGGTTATTAATTCATATTATAATTTATTATATAAATACTAAAAGAAAATCTTGTTATTTCAATATAAAATTAGAAGAATATTAAATTTAAATATTTCAATTTAAAAAACAAAACCCTTTTTTTCCAAGAGAAATCTTTTGAAATAACTTCTCAAATTATATTGTTTACAACATTTTCTTAATATATCTTGAGATTTTTTCTTCAAATGTTCAGGCTTTTGTGTCATGTAGTTTTATCGAGAAGTAGGGTGGTAATGCAAAAGTTGGAAAATTAAGAACAAAAGAAGATGCCTTTCCCCTTAGCTTTGATCAAGAATGCAAACATTATGCTCCCTCTGTGGTCTCAGGTTCGAGTTCTTAGTTGCTCATATGATAGCTACTAGAGGCTTACATGGTCGTTAACTTCAGGGCCCATGGGATTAGTCGTGGTGCGCGCAAGCTGGCCCGGACACCCACGTTAATCTAAAAAAAAAATGCAAACATTGTGAGAATGAGTTCTCGTTTTGTTGACACTTCCACGGTATATATAAGATATTTGGTATTGCGTTTGAAAAGTATTTTTTAAAAAAATTTAATTTTTTTATTTGAAGTAATATATTTTTGATATTTTTAAATTATTTTGATGTGATAATCTTAAAAATATTTTTTAAAAAATAAAAAAATATTATTGACATACTTTTCTAAATAAAAAACATTTTAAAAAATAACAGCAATCATACTCCCAAACATACTCTAAATTTAAATGCATATTTTTTTCAGGAGCACCAGTTCAACAAGTATTGCTAGCGCCAGGATTTTTTAATCACTAAAGTTCTATCATACTAAATTATATAGAAAAAATTAAGGTTCTTAAGCTGTGAAATTATACCACAAGAAAATTGTCAGAGAACCATCATATATTATGAAAAGTTCTAATTCATAAAAAAATTATAATTTAATCTTAATGTGACATATTTTCCATGGAGATTCAAATAAGATGAATTTATGTTTTTTCTATGTAATAGTGCTTTTGTTCTCGTTTTTTCTTTTTTGAATAAAAAACGTTTTTGAATGAGAAGAAGCGCGTTTGGATAGTGAAAGAGTTTATTTAGTGATTGAAAACAATTTTTCATTTTTATTTTCTAGTTTTGATCATTGTTTAATGAAAAGTTCGAAAACGAGTTTATTTGTTGGAAAACAAGAGTTTTCACTGAAAAATTAATAAATATATTAAGATCATAATTATTTTTTATAAAAAAATAAAATCATAATTTATAATAATCATCTTAATATTCTTCTTTTATTTATGATGGTTTAATTGTTGGATATTAATCTTGTTTTGTTTAAATTAATAATTATCATAAAAGTTATATTATTAACAAAAAATATATTTATGTTAAATTTATGATAAAAAAATTATGAAAATAATTAAATATAAAAATATATAATTTTGTTTTAATATTTTACATTGCTAAAAGCACTTGTATATAAAAGAAAAAAAATTGTATCGTTCATGTTTTTTATTTTAAAAATAAAGCATTTATATTGAAAAATTATAGATAACCTCTAAAAATATATTTTATAAGCTCATTATAAATTTAAAAAAATGAAAAAAAATGGAGAAATATTATATTTGAAAATAAAGTTAGGGTTTTTCTTTTTCTAAATAAAAATGGTTTTTATAAAAAAGAAGCCTAGTATATTTCTTGTTTCTTAACAATTCCAGTTACAGAAGGTGCATTGGTTCAAACGGGCATTGCATAAATTCTGTAGGGGCCGAAGTGTAATAACAAGGGTGGAACGGCAAAGAAAAACGTGCAGTGAAATATGTGACGCAAGCACTCGAAGCCAACAAAAGCAAATTGGTGCCTCAACTTGAACTAGCTTGCAAGACTGCAGAAACAAATCGATCGAGCTAAAAAAAGAAAAAAGAAAAAAGAAATCATGATCTCTCAATTCTTCGTGCTCTCGCAGCGAGGCGACAATATTGTCTTTCGCGATTGTAAGTCCTCTCTATCTCTCGGTTTTCCCTGATATTCTCTACCGATCTGATCCTTTTACTTGACAGGCAGATCTCAATTATTTCTGGTAATCAATTGATCTAATCTAATCTAAGACAGCTCAAAATCTCCCTGCATTCAGTCTTCCAGTGCCATGTGTTTCTATTCCATTTGATTTAAATTGAATTCAGTTGTTCAATAGGTTTAATTAGTGGTGTTAATATAATTATCGAACAGACCTACTAGGGTTTTTAGTGTTTGAATTGTGATTTGCAATGATAAAATCTGTTTTATTTTACTGAATGAGAGAGAGAGAGAGAGAGTATAGGATTCTATTGATTGATTATGATTTCGTCAATTGAAGATCGCGGTGAAGTTCCAAAAGGAAGTGCAGAAATATTTTTCCGCAAAGTCAAGTTTTGGAAGGAAGACGGAGAAGAAGAGGCCCCCCCTGTCTTTGTAGGTATCTTATTTGCTGTATGATAATAATATCAGGCGTTATTTTTTTTTATTATTATTATTTGGATCATTTGCTGAGTCTTTCTTTTCGTTTGGTTAGTGAATGGATATTTAGAGTAATGTGCTGATTTCTTTCACTTCTTTTTTGTGATTCCTTTTTTCTTCTATGAATAGAATGTGGATGGTGTAAACTACTTTCATGTGAAAGTAGTTGGATTATTATTTGTTGCAACCACGAGAGTAAATGTGTCACCTTCTCTGGTCTTGGAACTTTTACAAAGGATTGCTCGTGTTATCAAAGATTATCTTGGGGTTCTCAATGAAGATTCTCTTCGGAAAAACTTTGTGCTCGTGTATGAGTTGCTTGATGAAGTCATTGTAAGCTTTCTATCATGCTGTCTTTTTTGTTTTATCAATAGCTCTTGACTTCATGTCCGGTGCTCTATTTGTTGGTGTGTGCGCTATTTATTTTTGCTGGTCCCTGGCTTGTTTGTTTGCTTTCTTCATCCTTTGCTATTCAATTTTATATTTTATTGTACTTTGGTTTCAACATTTTGAACCTCTGACATAAGAGTTGTAGGCCCTTTATTTCTTTCTTTCTTTTCTCTTTGGCATAAAAGAAACTTAAAGAAAGAATAATGCTGTGCAAATGGGATAATCAGACATCCTAAACGATCAAAATTGTATAGAAGACGCTTTGTTACCAACTTTTTTTTATCAAATGACATTTGTATTGCCTAGCATATCCATTTGTTCCTTAAAGTTCAAAATGACTCATGAGTGGATTTGTATTTATTTCTTGCATCATGGGGCATACAACATCAGTTCATCTGAATTTTTCGTCGAATGTACATTGACCATTTGCCTTGCATGAAATATTAGACATGTCATGTCCATGCACAAGCTATGTTACTTAGCCCAAGCTAAACTATTGTTTGATTGTTTATTGATTGCTCTTCCAAAAAGTTTAACATGTGACTTGTTGCCTTCTTCTACCAGGATTTTGGTTATGTACAAACTACGTCCACTGAACTGTTGAAGTCCTATGTATTCAACGAGCCACTTGTGGTCGATGCTGCACGTTTGCAACCTCTGAGTCCTGCTGCCATTTTCATGGTATGGTATCATCTCTCTGATCATGCTTAAATTACTTGGATTGCTTAATATTTTGTTTGCATATGCCATGCAAATAACTATAAGAATTTGGATGAATGCAGCAAGGGACAAAAAGGATGCCAGGTACAGCTGTTACAAAGTCTGTTGTTGCAAATGAGCCAGGGGGTAGGAAGAGGGAGGAAATTTTTGTGGATATAATCGAGAAAATCAGTGTGACATTCAGCTCTAGTGTAAGCATTTATGCATTCATTATCTGTAGTTTGGATTATTTTATTGCTTCTGTGTATGTGGTGTAATGATTTGACAGTCAACTGCATGAGCAACAGATGTCTGTTAAGAATGGTTTCTCCTTCTCATGCCGCTGTTCTTGGCATGTTTTATTGTCCTCTTTTGGAATGAATGAAGTAAATGAATTGGTTTACTAGATGAGGACACATGAAGTCACTCTGAACTGTCTTCATGTTGTTTTAAATTTTTATGGTGCTTATTCCTTTAAAAACATTCATGATCTTTGCTTGATTAGCTGCTTTATTTGTTTCCTCAATGCACAATCTTTCTTTAATCTATGCAATTTTCTCTGTACAGGGATATATATTGACTTCTGAAATTGATGGCACCATTCAAATGAAGAGCTATCTTTCTGGAAATCCAGAAATCCGATTAGCCCTTAACGAGGACTTGAGCATAGGAAGAGGTGGTGAGAGATCAATTCATATACCCTCAGGAAATACTGGCTATTGGACTGCATAATACCTACATATGATTGCCTTGAACATTAACATTTCACAGCTGAGTTGCTCCTTTGTTGAATGTTTGCATGAACAAGTATGGTGCATTTATCTAGGTTAATATTCTTGATTCCATGTTTACTTTTAGTAATAAATTTCAGCTAATAATTCGATATGGTTTATATTCTTGATGCCATGTTTACTTTTAGTAATAAATTTATCTAGGTTTATATTCTTGATGCCATGTTTACTTCTAGTAATAAATTTCAGCTAATAATTCGATGTGGCTGTGCTTTTATGTTTTTTTTGTGGTCCTTGCTGAATTAGTTTTTGAAGTTCGTAATGAGAGGATTTTTTTTTCTATTTCTATTCAATCCTTTTTGCATGCTTGTGTGCCTTGTGATAGTCAGCCATGATTATCTACCATGGTGTCTTTCTGCTGTCTTTTAAATACGGTAATTTTTTTTTTTTTTATCTCATACTTACAATATTGCTGCATGCTGTTTCAGATTATAGAAGTTCATTTGGGTCAGGCTCAGTGATACTTGATGATTGTAATTTCCATGAGTCTGTACGTCTAGATAATTTTGATCTGGATAGAACTTTGACTCTGGTAAGTGAAACTAAAGCAACATGAGCTTGAAAGGTGTATGTAGATTGGAGAGGTTCAATATACATGTTTCCAGTTTCTTAATAAGCCTTTTATCCTGCCAATACATATCAGGTACCGCCAGATGGTGAATTTCCTGTCATGAATTATCGGATGACTCAGGAATTTAAACCTCCTTTTCGCATTAATACTTTGATAGAAGAAGCAGGTGCACTTAAGGTGATTATTATCTTCCATACTGAACTCTACTTGACAATGAAAATAACTTGGCTTGAAAGAACCAATCATAGTGATATAACTTGTGCATTGGTCAAGAGACGTGTTTTCTATTTCTGTAGTTTCGGTTTTGACACTACATTACTTGAACCAAATTTGAAAATTTTATTTAGGAGAAAGTCATTCACTATTGCTTCTATTGTACAGTTTATAACCATTCCACTGTTCTTTATGTTTGATGTTGATAGGCTGAAGTGATTCTCAAAGTATCTGCTGAATTTCCCTCAAGCATTACTGCGAACACAATCATTGTACAGATGCCACTGCCAAAATATACCACCAGGTATTCTTTCATGTAGAACGCATTTCATCTTTTGGAACAAATGAGTTATCCCAGGCTCTCAGCAAATTATGTCATGATTGTCATAAATGAGCCTATCAGCTGTGATCCCCCTTTAACTATTTCAACAAGCTTATGTGTCTGGATCCTGAAAATAGAAACTATTGACAAGTTTGATTGTCATGTCAGAAAAATAATAATAATAAAAGAGCACCGATAGAAATAGAATGGCAGTCCAGAATATCATGATTATTGGAAACTGTGATTGAAGATGTAAAAGGCATATTTGCTATGAATTTCATCTTAAGGGGATACAAGTCTCTTGTTTGTATTTTGATGCTTTAGTGCATTTTACTGAGAAAATAATCTAGTTTCTGAGGAATTATCAAGAGCATGGTAGGCTATAAAGTTGTCTTTGCAGCAGGTCGATAGACCTTGTGAAATCAGGCATAGTGATTATGTAGTTAAGAGATTGGGTTTGAGAAAGTTGCTCTTCATAACTTACCAAAAAAAAAAAGTTGCTCTTCATAAGTGATTTTTCAAGTCAGAAAGGCAGATCATACTGTTTATACGTAATTTATAAATTATATCAATTTTTATAGCACAAACATTTTTATAATGGGTTTTCTATGACAGAGTTAATTTTGAGTTGGAACCTGGAGCACTTGGGCAAACAACAGATTTCAAGGAAGCAAATAGGAGGCTTGAATGGGGATTAAAGAAGGCAACATTTCTTAAATTTCTCTTTGATTTCATAACCTCTTTCCTTTCAAAGCAATGATCATGCACTAGCAAATAAAACAAGTCAATAATGTGTCGTAACAGATTGTTGGGGGATCAGAGCATACCTTACGTGCAAAGCTGACATTTTCACAGGAGTTGCATGGTACGAATTATAAATCATAATGGTCATGAAAATTTACAATGTTTTCATGTGTTGTTTCATGAAATATTTGCTGCTTTATACAGGGAATATCACAAAGGAAGCTGGACCAGTTAGCATGACATTCACAATTCCGATGTATAATGCTTCACGTCTTCAGGTAAGCCATTACTGGTTGCCATTAAAGCAATATTTGTTGTTTATCAAATTTATTACCCAAACAACTGCAACAAATTGGTGAAAGGTAAGATGACCCATAATACTTGCTATATTAGTGGTAGAAGAATAGCTCAGTATTGTTTTATGGGTTAGCCCAGGCTGCTTGTATAAAAAATATGAATATAATGATATTTGTATAGAGAATATCACTAAGAGCGGTGGATGTGCTATATATCTTGATCCTGTTTCTCTCCCCTTCTATATTCTCATGTCAAGGTAAAAGGCATGCACACCTGTGATGATGCGTCTCTTATCTTTTACTCATTTAAGAACAGTTTTACCATTTTAAGATTTTTAGTTTTTATTGTGTGCCAGTTTCTCCCTTTATTCCTTACAGCCAAGTCTATCATGTTACCTGGTGCAGGTGAAATACTTGCAGATAGCAAAGAAATCAAGTACATATAATCCATATCGATGGGTGAGATACGTTACACAGGCCAATTCCTATGTTGCCCGTATATGATGCTCTAATCTCCCCCTTGTTCCTTGCACATTTTGTTAATGTTATCATCTGTATTTTTGTGTAACATTTTTTGCCCGTTGATCCTTGTATTGTTGTAACTCTTTTAGATGATGATCTTTGCACTTGCGAGTTTTATTGACCATCTAGATCGATTCTCAACGGACGTGGTCCTGTGTTTAATTTGCGCCCTCCTGTAGATGAACTCCATTCGAGGACAAGCACCCACTTGTCTGATGTTTGTGGACAGTGATAGATGAAACAGTTAAAACTAACAACATACATCCTTGCTTGCTTTTCTGACTACCACTTCCCCAGGTGGATCGGCACCCCCGCTATAAACACTCGAAAACAAGCCTCTCATGCAAACCGTTCTCACAATTATAATGAGCCTCTCATAGCTAACCCTCGAAGCTATCAACTCTCAGAGCTATCAATTCTGAATCGCCAAGTATGCTAATAACCATCTGTCATCGGTTATATTTCCTGTATTCATCGTTGCTTCGTCACATTTTAGTGGGAGCAATGTAATTGCCTCTCGCCATCTTTTAGATGTGCCAAAGTCCCCTTCACTTCCCAAATCAGAATTGCACCCTCCACCCACCATCCCAACTTTTCCAAAACAAGAATTACCACCTGTTCCTGAGCTTGAATCCCCTCTCCCTCAGTTACCAGAGTTGCCAAAACCTGAATTGCCTACTTTACCGAAGCCAGCCTGAGTTGCCATTTGATCCTCATATGCGAGCTATTGCAAAGCCCGAAAAGCCTAAAGACCCAATACAGTACGATCTGCCATCTTTCCAGCATCCACCAGAGCCCGCATTGCCTACTATGGTCCATGGACACAACTATGACTTCCTTTCCACTCCCCCCTCAACCAGTCCTCAAGCAGTTGAGCTATTATGTCCGGCAATAGCTTTTAAAGTTGTTCGTTCTGTGGTCTGTAGACGATACGTGTCATGTTTAATGGCCACTGTAGTAGTTATTCCGTTTAGAGATGCCACTTCGTACTTCCTGTGAACATTATACTACAAACTAAAACATATAGGGTGTCTACCACAACCGGAGTTGGGATATTTTCAATATTGAATAATTTGTAGGTATTTTTATAATTCAAAGTTGAAAGTTACACTAACATAAGAAGCTAGATCACCTGCTTGCTAAATATATTATTTAGTTTTTACAATCATTAATTAATAATAGCTATAAATATATTAACTCGTTAACAATACTTAATTGTTACTTAATTTTCTTTACAGGAAGATCATTTATTTAATATTATACATTAAATTTGGTTTAATAAGTTATGAGTTATCGACTTTTTTTTAAAAAATCAATTCTTTTTAATTTTTATTATGGTTTGACTTGAAATAAAAAAATCATAAATTCTTCTTAATAATAAACCATAAGGATTGCATGCATCATATAAGATGAGCGAGAAGAATTTGAATTTATGTTAAGATATTATGGCATCATCAGCAGTGTGATTTTCAATTAATTACTTAAATGATTGAGGGACTAATTTTCTTGAGACAACTGTTGCTCTCTCATGTTCTTTCAATCTAGTATTAAACAATTAATGCAAGTCATAACCAAACCAATTCTATCTCTTAACTCGAGCAGTTTTTGTTTGTACCATGAAAATCACAATGATTTTACATGAAGCGATGCAAACAATCAAAGCTCAAAATCATTGCCACGGGACCCATCTAAGCAAATATTTCATGTGGGTTTCTTATGTGTGGTAAAAAAACCTTGGCGTTTATTCATGACGTGACTACTTGATTTTATTGTTCGTAGCTAAAGATTCTCAGTTTCTCACCATGCATGATTCACAAAAAACAAAAATAAATTATATTATCGTGTCCTCGCGTAAACAAATAAGGTTTTACACAACAATTTCTTAATAAATTAGACGTTTGTTTTGCAATCATACCAAGACTCATCATGAAAAATACAAAGAACAAAAAAAACAACATTAATATAATTGAAACTAAAAAATATTATCCAACCCAAGGAACAAAAAAAGCTAAAGAATGATAACACAATATTTTAATTATAATTTTTATTCTCAGTCAACACAATTTTTAAATTTAAATTGAACTAAAAAATAAATTTATCATCATACATAATATAACACGAACTCTCATACTCAATTTGTACATACTAACCTTAACCCTAAATTCCCAAATTTTCTCCTACAGTTCCCCGCTTCAATCTTCCTCCTCCCCCCCAAATCCTCCGACCACCCGACCATACCATTTTATTACTCGGAAGACCACCAGTCCATAATGATGCTCACATTTCTATGACTGTTGCTTTCTTCATGAAGTGTTGACGTGTTGATTTCTACAGAACATCTTAAGGTTTTTTACATAATTTGTTAAACAAAAATTAAAGTTAGGCTTGAGGTTTATCTCCTTCAAAGCCTTTACGATGTACCAAACTGTTCTCATGCCCTGTCCTCGGTGCTTGCCCTCCTCTCTTATGTGTCGATGCCCATTCAAAACAGGAATTCTCATGCCATATGGTTTCGTAGTTTAGTCTGCTTTAGTATTGTTCAACTCTTGGTTTCAAGCTCTACGGCAGCATCAATTTTTATTTTTTATGGATATCAATCACGAGGTGAAGACCCCTTTGAGTTTTTCAATTCCAGAGGCAAGAAATCTTAGGTTATGTTGTAATACCTTTTTGATTTTTTGAGAGTGTAGTTTTCAAATCAACAATTTTTA